TTATATTCTTAATGGTTCATTTACTAGAATGGCCAGATAGATCAAGAATAAAGCAATATTTTTCAATGCAAGGTCAGAATTGCCTGGGGAGTTTTGTTTTGTTTTGTTTTAAGCATGCATATTTCTAGGCCAATCCCAGACACACTGAATCAGACTATAGGGATAGACCAGGAATCTGCATTTTTAACAATTTCCCAGGTCAACTTTATGCATACCAGAGTTTGAGAACCAGTGGAATAAAAGGCTGAATCTTTCCCTCAATGAAGTAAGATATAGGGAAATTATATATTTTTTTCAAGATATACTGATGGCAGGGTCATAGAAACCTCTTAAGGATTATGCTCAAGTGTGGAAACCTAGATTCTTCTTTTCTTAAGAAATAAAGTATTTTAATATCTTCAGCGTCTGATCCAGTGTTCTGTGTCTCTGTGGACGCTCAGTGGTATTTGAAAAAGGTAATCTATTAACCATAAAGAATATCATACTATTAGAAATTAAAATTGAAAGACTGCTTAGAGGTTAGCTAGTCCAGCTTCATCACTTTACTAATACACAGGGGATAAGGAAAGGAAAAGTATATGTCCAAGATGTTTACATTATTTTATAATTATAAAACAATAGAAACTATAAAATACTAAATTCCAACAATAGAAAATATTACAGATATTTCTCCTGGATGGAATATCATGCAGCAAATAAAACAGACGATAATGGAGACTATATAATAACACGGGAAAATACCCAAAGTATTAGGTTGTATGAAAAAAAGAATATGGTATTGTAAATACAGCATAATTATTTATGTAAAAATATCAGTGCAAACAAAACACTTAAGACTAGGCTAGTATTAATTTAATGGTTTTGTGTATAATTTTTTTCCTTTTAAAAAAAATATAGGCAAAAAAGGATAATCTCTTTGGTGAAGGAAAAAAAGATATGGCAAAATAGGAAGCAAGAGAGTAATAATTAGGAAGCTAGTGAAGTAATCTCTAGGCAAGAGATATCTGGGACCTGTATCTATTGTTCGTGGCAGGAGAAAGGAACCACGTTTCTGGTTTTGTTTTTAATGGCATAAATTCTTTTCATTTAGAACTTCCATTAGTTGAGAACTGAATTTTTCCTACTGATAGTATTTAAATAAGACTGTGCTATGGTCTAAATCTTTGTATCTAGTACTGCTTTTAGTCAGACCTCAAGGGATCTATCCCAAGATCTATGTATTTATCATTTATTTTGTCATCCATTCATCTGTTCCTCTATCTCTAAAACCTATTGGTTGATTTAGTGCCTTTGAAGCCCACAGAATCAGCTGCCATTCTGTAGAAGGGAAGGATAAACTGATCCACTGGCAAGAAAGCAGCAGTTGTCCACTGCAGATGTTACACATAACTGCTGCTCAGTAGGCTTGTGGTTCGGGTCCTGCTTATTGTCATAGAACCCTGCCTGCCTTATAAAAGGTCATCTCCACCTGCCGCAGGACAGTGCTGTATGGCCTTCCCTTCCTGAGCCACTCCAGTTTTCTCCTAAGGCGCTGTACGTAGTCTAACCCCTTGCATGGTCATCAGTCTGTAGACAGAAAATTACAAAAGAATCGATCAATAGTGATAGTGATAGTGAGCAGCAACGTCAACAGCCTAATTGCCTCATTTTCAGATCTCTCTTTCCTGAATACTTTTAGACATATCCTCTGTTAATCCTACCATCTGTTCTGCTGCTCTCTCGGAAGACAAACATGATACAGCACCGCTGGACTCCTTACCATCGTCAGTGTATCCATATGCCCATGTGTGCTGTATAACAGTTATAACAGGAACGTTTCTATTGTCTGGGTATTCTTGCATCTATCATTTTTAAAGGATTCAAAATAGAACCCTTGAGTGTTAATTTGATGTCTTTAGATTTTCTTTGAAGAGTCTTGGCTTATGTCTTGGGACTTTGAATTTATTTTAAGATAATGAAAGTACCAGTCAGCTTTCAATTTCACCTGAATTCCTTGTTTACATTTCATCAACATTAGAGAGATTATTGTTAATATTAAAGTAGTGAATGTCTTTTTCTTCATATTTTTAAATGTCTACTTCAGAAGTTTATATAATGTTACTCTATGACTTTGTTAGTTTCATTGAACTAATTCTGTTCCATAATATATTTTTAGATGTCTTGTAAATTTTAAGATATTTTGCAAGGTTATAAAAATTAAAGGGACAACCTCTTGTTTGTAGTTTACCTTGTTATGCTTTAAATATGTTAGAAACCAAATAAGGTCTTCGTGTGAACTCCATGTGTTTCTGGTTTTTTAAAAAATAACCATTATCCTAAAGGAAACAAAAGTCTTCTATTAAGATCCAAGCAAAAGTAGTCATGGGATATTTTCATTTGGTAACCAGTAAGCTCACCTAAGTCATATTAAAAATCATTCAAGGAGAATAGTTTATAGGCATTATTTTTTCTACCTTTTAATTTTAATTTTTCTATCTTTCAATTTCTATTTGTTCCTTTCCTAAGCATAAATGCTCTTTTGGAGGTTTAATCAGTCAACCAGTATTTATTGGAAATATTTTATATGGAAGGCACTGAGCAAGCTGTTGTGAGATTACCAAAGTATTTTAAGATGAGGTTTCTGCCCTATCTGCTTAGAGAGGTAAGACCTATTTACATCAGAACATAACTAATGATTCTAGGTGATAAATGAGAAGTGCTAGATCCTTTCAAAAAGTTTGTTTTACAGTTTATAAACATTTTGCCTAATTGCTCTCCAAAGTGGTAACCAATTTATATTCCTAGTAGTGGAGTACTCCCATCGCTCCATATCCTAACAAAAGATTTAATTCTGTGATTCTTTTTAGTGTTTGCCAGTTTGATTGGTATAACATGGTATCATGCTATAGTTAAAATTTGGTTTTATTGGTCACTAATGAGAATGACCATTGTTCTATATGTTTAAAAGTCTCTTTTGTGTCCTTTTCTGTGAGCTGCTCTTAGGCTCTGTCCAATTTGCTTTAGAATTATACTCTTTATTTTTTATTTCTGAAGAGTTCTAAAATGTTATCTTTCTAATGAAGAAAGAATGGATACTGATCATTTTCAATTACATGTACTGCAGATATTTTGTTTTACTGTGTTATTTGACTTTTTCCTTTTTGACACGAAATATAATAAAAACACAGAGAAGTGTACACACACACACACACACACACGCTTAAAAAGAAATTTGTTTCACATACCTTATAGATAAGTATTTTATTCTTCCTTCCCTTCCTGCCCTATATAATACACAAGTGAAATTGTGGTCAGGAGGTTAAAGGGAGCTTTCAAGCTTTCATCCTTTTTTATTTATTTATT